GCAAATAGGGGGGGGGGGGCCGTAAGATTACCCTCAGATGCCCCCCCAGATGTCAGTTCAAGACGAACTCAAGATCTTTCCCCGCATTGTATGTACGGTTCGGGATGTAGGGTTCATGGTTTTGGATGTGGGGCCTAGGGCTTCGGGCTGAGGATTTAGGTGCTATGAACTCGTTTGACTATTCTCCAATTAGATGCTGGAGCCCTAAACCTTAAACCCTGAACTAGTCCGCTGGAGGCTGTGGCTTGGGAAGTCGGAGGTAGGAGAGAACCCTACTTAAGCAAAATTCAGCAAATTTAACCCCAAGCCTCCTGTGAGTGATAAGCAAAACTCCTTAAAGGGTGTTATATAAGTTGGGGTGTAGCGTTTAGCGTCTGAACTCCTTGAAGGGGGCTATATAGGGGAACATATAGGGGGCTATCTAGGGGTTATTAAGTGTGATCTCAAGAGGCATTGGGAAACCAAACTCCATTTATTCAACATGCATGGAACTCAATAGTCTCTCATTGAAGGGACCGTGATCTTCATCGGGTCTCTTTGCGGGGGCCCTAGGTTTTGTGGGGGGTTGTAGGAGGCTTCAGCATTTAGGTTTTGGGGTATAGTTGGTCTCGGGTTTAGGGTTTAGGATTTAGACGTAAAAGCACATAAAAGCGCACATGAGGTGTCTCCCATATGTGCCCCAAATACCATAGTACTTGTAAACCCTTAGACCCCGAACCTAAATCCTACACTCCGAAACCCTTAGCCCCTATACCTGAAACCCTGCATCCTAAACCCTTACCCCTTGAACCCTATAAACCCTACAAACGTATAAACCCTATAACCCTATCAATCCTTAGCCGCCTAAACCCTAAACCCTAAACCCTAAATTCTAAAAGTCCGGATGCCTAGCGATAAAGCTTGGGACTGTGGCTTCCCGATCCTTTATTCCCAAACCCACAAGGGTTTAGGGTTTAGGGTTTAGGCAAATAACTACCATCTGGGGGACTTGGTGAGTAGCTTAAAACTCCTATAACCCATATAGTAACCCTAGTCATCCCCCTTTTTAACCTACTTACTAAGTCCCCCTGACCCCCAAGTACTGATAGGGGACTAGGTGAGCTATATTCAAAACTGCTTCAAGGGGGATACATCGGGGAATTCTATAGGGATCTATTGTAGGGGTTATTAAGTCGGATAAACGGAGCTTAGGCTATAGCTCAAAAAATACAAAGATCGTGGCCCCTTTGCAAGGGGTTTATAGGGGTATACAGCGCTTAGGAAAACGACATGGAACATGAAACGGGAGAACGAGGGTGAACAAGCCCCAAACCTTAAACACCTCAAAAAGGCGGCAACATGACACTGGCCGCTTGTGGTTTAGGGTTTAGAGTTTAGGCTTGTGTATAGGCCTAGGGTTCAGGGTTGGGAGTTGGGGGTTTGGGGTCTAAGCCCTTAAGCCTTGAAGCCCTGATCCTATACTTTATAGACTCCGATAAACCCCTTCTAAGGTACCAGAATATTGAGAATGAATTAGGCCCTCTGGGGGTTTGGTTAGGGTTTGGGTAGGTCACAGGTTGAAGCATAATGCACTATGATAATCATCCTCAAGCGAACCGAGAAGCGGAGGAGTTCTGTGAAGGCGTGCCAAAAGTGAAAGGAAATGCGAAATCACTGGATATCGTGTCTTGGCAAGCAGATGTTTTTTGCTTCAACCGTGCTCGTCGTCTTTGACTAGACAGTTTGTGTTCAAACGCCAGGTGTTGTGGTAGTCCTGAGCCTGGATACCCGAAGCATTTGCGACCCAGCTAATTGCATACAAGCCTGCACGGAGGTCCGCTTGATGCACGAGACGGACGACATTCGAAAAGAATGCAAAGCCATTCGGCATGCCATCGAACAACGCTTCAAACTGTGAGCGCAGATGCCTGTGGGATCTTCTGTGGCTCATTTTCTGGGTAGCTGTTAAGGAACTTAAATTAAGTTAACAAACTGGGTATATATATATAGTACTTAATAGGGTTTCCTCAATACAGTAACTTAAGTTAAGTTCCTTAACAGCAACCCAGTTTTCCGCTTCCCCCTTTCGAAGCCTGATGATTCAAACAAATATCCCTTGTGCCCTTGCAGCAACCGCCCAATCAGTGAATGGAAATTACAACTTCCTGTTTAGTGTTGGGGTTTGGGCCTTTAGTGTAAGGGTTCAGGGTTTAGGGAATCTTCTACGCAAAGGTGTCTTCGATTCATGCAATATTGTTTATGGTGGCTTACGTCGTTATAGGCAATGAGTTGGGCTGCGGTATCTATTCAGACATCTTGACCTGCAATCTTGGTTATCTGGTTGTTGATGCCGGTGCACCCGAAGCCTCAATCTCAACCCGAGAAGCTGATGTTTCCATCATGCTGAGCAATGGCTTGTCTTTTTCTCTGGCGACTGCTCCAGACGGTGTTTGCCGCTGTTCTTTGTGCGTTTGGCCAGGGAGCAAGCCTCGAGTCAATGCGGTGGATAACACACAATGTCCTTGCAGCTGCACTTGCAAAGTGCGTATCCTCCAACACGGAGGATTTTTAAACAAGGTTTCACATAAACCCTAAACCCTAAACCGCCGTTGTGCGGATTTAATGCACCCACGCAAGGTCATCCTCAGGGAACCTCTCGGGAAGGATTGATGGGTTTAGGGTTTAGGGGGGAGCAGGACCCTTGTCTTGAGAAATGACTTTCTGGGGGTCAGTAGGGAATAAGGGAATATAATCCCCATATAACAGGATCAATGTTAGAGATACTTTATACTCATGGGGTATGAGATTCCTCATATCGATGAAAAGAGGATCCTTTTCTCTTCCTAGGGTAATGTCCGCTAACATACTACATCCCCCTAGTCCTACTAATCCCCAATAAGATGGCCATGTGGCCAAAGCTAGAAGGTAACTCAATCAGCTTCGTTGCAGTTTACACTAGAGCTCTCATCTTACTGGGGGGCTTCAAGGAGACTTGGTAGCAGACTTGTGAGTTTCCAGAAATAGCCGGGCCATAAGATCGACCCCCCAAGATGTCAATCCTTATGGATCTCCATGATGATAATTGGGACCTCCGAAGAGGGACCCATTGTTTAGTGAACCGCCCACTATCGCCCACTTATAGCCTCCATTAGGTCCCCCTGACCCTCGAAGTGCCCTCCCCCAAACTCCCACCCCAGATTGGCGGAATTCCGTCAGGGTCAGGATTTGGGGCTTGGGGTTTAGGGTTCAGGGTAATTATAGGTAGTTATGGGTGCGGTTATAGTTGGGATAACCACAACTATGACCGACTTTCGGGGACTCTCAAGCCCACTTAGCCCAAAACCCTACATGAACCTTCAAGTAGGGTTTAGCGCGCAAGGTGTGGGGCCATAGTAGGTAAGAAACAGTCACGTGATTTCTAGAAAAACTGCAACTGCAGCAGCTTTAATAATGGGGAAGTAGATGGACAGGAACATCGAAAATGAAGCCTTGTAAAACCCTAAGCCCTAAACCCTAAACCGTGTGGATCTCTATGGGGTTATAGGGATTGTAGTATAGAAGCCTGGAGAATTAGCAGTTTTATCTCCTCGTAATGTTTAGGGTGTAGGGTTTAGGGTATCACAAAGTAGTATAGTATTCCCTCATAGCTGCACATCCATACCATCTCCCATTCACTACATGACCCTCATATCCCGCAACATTCCTTTAAGCCCTAAACCCTACATCCTAAACCTGAAATCCTACCCGGGTGAGTCCCTGCAGACACGCGTGCCGTAGGGGCCTGAAATAGCTACCAATGTTGAAAGGTCCTATATAGTCCTACGATGTAGATTACTTCAACACTTGAAGTTTTCCATATTCCCACTAAGTAGATTGTGGTATCATATTTCAATTCGAAATTGGTGATGAGTTTTCGGCCCCTATAGTAGAGCTGGGACGGTGCAATTCCCGCCTGCCGTGCCCTGCAGAAGATGGCCGTGTGTGAAAATCGGGAGGACGGTGCAGGTTTTGTAGAACCCCTAAATAAACCCTAAAACCTTAAACCCTAAGCCCTAAACCCTACACCGTAAACCCAAACCCTAAGGCCTAAACCCTTAAACTTTAAACCCTCAAAGTTCCAATCCTCAGCCGTAGACCCGAAAACCTAAATCCTCAAGGCACACTGCCCCCCCCAAAAAACAGGAAACCGAAAAAGGTTTAGGGTTTAGGATTTAGGGTTTAGGATGTAGGGTTTACGGTTTTGGATTTCGGGATTCGGGTTTGGGGTTTAGCTTCCTTGTCAGAGGTACCTGCGTGCGGGTTCCATTTGGGAGAGGGTTGGGTTTTAGGGACAAGGGTTTAGGGTTTAGGGTTATTGGAGTTTAGCTTGTTGGTAAT